AATATATTTTATTGATTTTTCACAGAGAGGGAGAGGGATAGAGAGTTAGAAACATCGATGAGAGAGAAACACCGATCAGCTGCCTCCTGCACACCCCCCACTGGGGATGTGCCCACAACCAAGGTACATGCCCTTGACCGGAATCGAACCTGGGACCTTCCAGTCCGCAGGCCGACGCTCTATCCACTGAGCCAAACCGGTTAGGGCTGTAATTTTCTTTTTGTAGTGAGAGCTCTAAATTGCATTTCGTAATACATAATACATATCTATTTACAGACGGTCGATGCTCTGGTAGATAATAATATAGATCAGTGGTTCTCAACCTTCTGGCCCTTTAAATACAGTTCATGTTGTGGTGACCCAACCATAAAATTATTTCCGTTGCTACTTCATAACTGTAATGTTGCTACTGTTATGAATCGTCATGTAAATATCTGATGTGCAGGATGGTCTTAGGCAACCACCGCCAAAGGGGTCTCGACCCACAGGTTGAGAACCGCTGATATAGATAATAGTGATTCCCAGAACGCGAACATACGCAGGATAAAAACTGCTTAATCACGGAAAGAAAAATGATACAAGCAAGCGGCTACCGAAACGTGTGGCTCCGCGCCTCATGAAATGTCTACTCTCTGCTTTTTAGAGAGAAGATGGAACCCATGCGGCAATATTTAAAAACAATAACAATAAGGAACCATAGCCGTCTCCTCTCCACCCTGAATTGTGCCAACATAAATACAACACGTCGGCGGCGACATCCTAATCATTCCAACCATCCTCAGCAGTCCCCATAGTGTGCGATTTCACCTTCCTCTTCCCGGGGAGCTTTCTGGAAACCATTGCCGCGGCTGCCTCGCTCGGCCACGCCAACGCCTGCTCCGGCCGGGACCACCTCGGCGGCCTTCGATGTCTGCTCTGGCCTGGGCAACCTCAGTGGCCTCCACTCAGGACACTTCCCAGTCTGTCCTCCAGAGCAGCCAGAGTAATCCCGTCAACACAGAAATCAGACCCCAGGCTCCTGCTCCCGCTCCTCCTCCTCCTCCCCCTCCTCCTCTGTGCACCAGGCTCCCGCCCTGGACCAGCTCTCAGGAAGGCCCTCAGGTGCTGCCGGTGGACAGCCCACCATGCTGACCTGGCCCTCACTCTCCACTCCACCTCGACTCCACCCTCTCCCGGGCTCAGATCCCTCTGCCTGCATCTCAGCTTGACGCATGCCGCCTCCTGGTCCAGTGGTCGGCAAACTGCGGCTCATGAGCCACATGCGGCTCTTTGGCCCCTTGAGTGTGGCCACGAAGTTTCAATCGCACTGTACGTGCGCGCCCGCACGTGGTATTTTGTGGAAGAGCCACACTCAAGGGGCCGCAGTTTGCCGACCACTGGTCCATATCTCCATTTGTGCAACATCTTCAGAGCCGATTCCCTTGAGCTCCATCCTGCACCCATCACTCTGCCCCTCACCACGCTCTATTCTCTATTTTTTTCCCAAAATTTATTTTTATTTTTATTGATTTCAGAGAGGAAGGGAGAGGGAGAGAGAGAGAAACATCAATGATGAGAGAAGCATTGATTGGCTGCCTCTTGCACGCCCCCTACTGGGGCCTGAGCCCACAACTGGGTATGTGCCCCAACCTGGAATTGAACCGTGACCTCCAGGTTCATAGGTCGACACTCAACCACTGAGCCACACCAGCCGGGCACAGCCTAGCATATTTTAACAACACAAATAATGCTTAACACTTGCTAATTTGGCTCAACGTGCAATCTCTCGCTCTCTGTTAGAAAAGGGACAGAAGTGCTTGTACCATCACAATATCTGGGCTATTGTTTCAACATAAACATGGTCTCAAGCGAGAGGAGACCGCTGAAAAGGACCGAGGAGAAAAGAGTCAAGAGAACATCTGTCAAGAGCCGCATCTCCCTCGGACAAATCTAAACATTTGGTTTAAGCAACGGCTTCCACTCACTTGGTTCCAAGGAGTCTTACACTGACTCTTCGTTACCCGAGTGGACTACAGAGTGAAAAAGAAAAAAAATTCAATATTGGTTTTCAAAACCTTGTTGACACTCTCATGAACTCCCTCCCACCATGAGCAAACAACCAATAAAGTCAAACAAAACATTCTGTAATAGAACGAGAAGTGACGGCCGCCCCGCACACAAGAAAGCACCGAAGTATCTGTACTGATTCCTTGACCAAGAGGCACCAGTGTCCCCACAGCATAAGCCAGGTCGCAGGCACTGTGATTGGCACATCCGAGGCCCCTATTCAAAATGTCCCTGTCACCGTCGTTCAGGAGCTATAATAATGGCCACATTGTACCAAACGTTTGGCCTGGCGAGTGGCCGAGCCACTCAGGTCTTCTTAAAAGTGCACAAATTTAACACACAGGCAACCCTGCCGGACAATTCTAGAAATTAAAATGCTCCGGGAAGTCTGGCGATTCATTTTGACGGCAAAAAAAAGACTTTCAGAAACGAAGCTGCAGCATATAATCACCTTCAAATGACATAATACCGACCATGGACCCAGAAGGAGATGGCTCCCCTGTTCAAGTTGTTCCACTGTCAATAAAAACCATTTCACCGTGGTTATTATTCCAATGGGGTCATGTTATTTCTTTTTACTATTTAATAATATTAGTTCTTTTTCTAAAAATATTTTTTATTGATTTTTTTTTTTTTTTTTAAGAGGGGAAGGGAGAGGGAGAGCTACTGGGGATGTGCCCGCAACCAAGGCACATGCCCTTGACCGGAATCGAACCTAGGATTGAGTCCTCAGGCCGACGCTCTATCCACTGAGCCAAACCGGTTAGGGCCATAGTATTAGTTCTTCTTTAAACTTTCATTTAGCCCCAGCTGGTGTGGCTCAGTGGTTGAGCATCGGCCTATGATCCAGGAGGTCAGGGCACATGCCCGGGTTGCAGGCTCCATCCCCAGTGCAGGGCATGCTGGAGGCAGCCCATCCATGACTCTCGCTCATCATTGATGTTTCTCTCTCCCTCCCTCTCCCTTCCCCTCTGAAATCAATAAAAACATATTTTAAAAATAGACAACAACAACAAAAAACATGTCCGATGTCTACTATACATGGGCCAAAGGTAAGTAATTCTAGCGCCCTTCATGCGGCCTGTCATTCTCTGATACACACAACCACCGGGGCCACTTTTCTCTGCCCTATTCTGTTAGACTTTGCTCTCATCTCTTAAGCAATCTAAACTACAAGATGGGGGGAGGGGGGGAGGTGAGTGGGAGTCATAAAATAAAACCTAAAAGAAATAAAGAAATTATTCGATGCTTACCTGTAGCCACCCACCCTGGAATTACGTATAACTCCCATCATCAAAATGCCAAGTAGTCGTTTTCAAGGAAATTGCAGGGCTGAAGGATTTTGAATGGGGAAAATATATACACACACATACAACACGTGTGTTGTTTCTCCTCGCCCCTCTTCCTTCCGCAACTTGGAGGAGGACAGTGTTTCCAGTCGAGTTAGCTCCTGTCCTAGCAGGTTTTACGAGGTTGGGACGCACGCAGCCGTGGCCGGCCAATGCCAGTTCTGACTGTATCTTCTAATCTGTTTTAAGATTTCATCTCATCCTAAGAATATTGAGTAATTTCCCATCTCGAAGAACCAGCTGAAGACAGCAACTCTATTCGCTTTTTTTTTTTTTTTTTTTGGTAATCCTCACCTGAGGATATTTTTCCATTGAATTTGAGAGAGAGTGGAAGGGAAGGGTAGAGACAGACAGAGAAGCATCGATGTGAGATCGACACACGGATTGGTTGCCTTCCACATGCACCCCGACCAGGGCCAGGGATCAAGCTTGCAACCGAGGTATGTGCCCTTGACCGGAATCGAACCTGGGACCCTTCAGTCCGCAGGCCGACGCTCTATCTACTGAGACAAACCAGCGAGAGCTATTAGCTCTTCTAGATGGTGAAATAGAATCGAATTTGTGTTCAGTTCAACTGCCAGTTCTTTATGCCCGTCGGGAAACTGGACCCAGATTTAGAAAGAAAATCATACAGGCCAAGTCTTCAGCATGTCGAGCCGCTGCGCAAGGACAATGAACTCGCCCGTCATCAACCCACACGTGCACCGTGCACCGTGGGGCAAACTGGTGTTTCTTGTCGTAAGACTATTCCCCGACACTCAAAGCGACCCAACGAGTAAGAAAATCACACTTCACGTGCAGAGGTGGCCGAGGAAAACCTGGAAACTTCAGAGGCCAGAAGGCATTTCACATGGGAGAAGAGCCACCGCAATGCCCACTTGGGAAACTGAGGAAAGAGGCAGTTCCATGAAGGCCACTGGGCCAGACGGAGGGCCAAGGTTCCGCATGATCCCAGGAAGGCCAGGGATTGCAAAGTTCTGCCCAAATGAACGAAGCACCCTTGTACTTAAAGGCCAAGCAGCACCATGAAGTTTCTAGAAGATGCTGATATTGTACACGTGGTAAGTGTGCAAGCAAGTCTCACCCGCATTTTTATTTTAAAAAATACATACATATTTTTATTATTGATTTTAGAGAGGAAGGGAGAGGGAAAGGGAGAGGATATAGAAACATCAATGATGAGAGAGAATCATGGATCGGCTGCCTCCTGCACGCCCCACACTGGGGATCCAGCCTGCAACCCCAGGCATGTGCCCTGAACTGGGAATTGCACTGTGACCTCCTGGTTCATAGGTGGATGCTCAACCACTGAGCCATGCCAGCCGGGCTGATGCGCATTTTGAAAAAGGCACCCAAAGCAACAGTCAAGGTAAGTGGGTCACCTGCCCCAAAGCAGGTCACCTAAGGTCTACCTGGACCTCTGAGTCCTGGAAGCCCTGCCCAGGAGGTACTGCTGGCAGCCAAGCTTCGCCTCCCCCCCTTTCCGCCTCCCTCCACCTGGCACTGAGCCGGGGGAGGCCCGCCCAGCTCGGGCACTGGGGTGGGCCGCGCGGGGCATGGCCTCTGTACCCAGTCCTCCCCCCACCCCCAAACCGCCACACTTACTGTTGCTGGATTTGAGGTCCCGGTGCAGGATGGGCACCACGGCCTCCTCGTGCAGGTAGAGCATCCCGCGCGCGATCT